TCAGCTCGGGTAAGCCAAGTCTAGAACAAAACACCCAGGTTTTTAAACCTAGTATAACATAACCTCATGCCGGATCCCTAGTAGGAACGCTTGTTTGCATCACGTGCATTTGACTTTGGGGATTCAACACAGGGATTGGGTCCGTCCAGGACAGGTATACCCGAGATCAAAAGACCATCCTGATGCATTTTATTTGTTGCCTGTACATTTATTTGCTTCGGATTGCATGTTTACCGGCTTCTAGAATAAGGGAAAAAAATTGGTAAAATCAAATTCAGGTATGAGAGAGCATATTTACTCGTCCTTAGAAAATCTCGTGTCAAAAAAAATATATACCGAAACTCTGCCGAAATTTTGAAAAAAAGGGGAAAGAGAATTTTGTTTAAAAAAATGATGATATTTTTCTATTGTGTCAAAACTGCCCGAACTACGCAACGTTTAATTCTCACCAGATGTGGGATGCATAGGCAACCTTCACCGGGTCCAATTCCATTTTTGCAAAAATAATCCAAAAAATATGAAATATTGTTATTCTGTCATAAATAAAATTAGGTGATGTCCTTCTTGTCTACGTAGCCAAAATGTCCCCCAAAAAGACGCCGGAAGGCTATTTTTGCAAGAATAGCCACCTATGGTCCTTTTTAAAATTTTTGGCCGATTGGTAAACGCAAGCCTAAAATCTTCTTTCCCGAGGTGCTGAAGGGCCGTATTTGCAAAAGGTGTTTTTGTTTTGAATTGCAATTTTGAAAAAATTGATAATTTTCTCTTTAGTCAAAATACATCATGATCTTTTAACTAATCACTTTAAATAAATGTGCAGGATGAACACTATTAAAAATGAACCATTCACAATCCTCGAGGAAATCCCGTTAGAACTCCATATGTGATGGAATGATTTAGGGAAAGTCAGCAGAGATACCGTGATAAAATCTTTGGGCGGTATCATTGGTCTTTTGAAGATTAAGCCGAGGCTGGATATAATTGAGGCTTTGATACCTTTTTGGGCCCGATGCATAATGTGTTCCATTTTTATGATTTTGAGCTAACCCCTACGCTTGAAGAAATAGCATGTTATGCCGGTCTTAGTGGGAATCTCAAAAATAGATACCCAGTGGCACCTAGAGCGGTGACTCCTCATAAATCCTAGACCTTCTAAGTATCAGTCGGGAAGTTAAACACGAAAATTTGGCCGAGGAATTTTGTACATTCTACTTCTTGTACCGACGTTACGGGGATCCCCACGGTTTTGAGACCCCAGATACTGGCGTAACTCATTCAGGGAACAAAGGTAAATGGGAAGCACGTCGAGGATTGGCTTTTATATTAGCATTCTTGGGTATCTTAATCTGCCCAAGAAAGGATGGAAATATAGAGTTGGGCTCGTGGGAATAGCCGACTTCATGACTAAAAAGGCTAATAGCACCATTGTACCAATGATCCTGGCGGAGATTTATCGAGCTCTAATCGTTTGCCGAGCGGGTGGAAAATTCTTTGAGGGTTGTAACATGCTTCTATAGCTTTGGATGGAAGAACACCTCTACCATCGTCCGGAATACATGAAATATGATATGACCGGTCGTAACTGCATTGAAGAACATGAAAACCGGGTGATGGGTCATGAGTTTCTGGAAGGTACGGAGGTATGGTTCGTGCATTTGAGTTCCCTAACTTTAAGAAAAATCGAGTGGACATTCGGTTAGCTCCCGGTCACTGAAGTCATTTACATGTCAGCCGAGGTGTGTTTTCTTCTATTGATGGGTCTTCGGAGTATTCAACCATATGCTCCACACAGGGTTCTGCGCCAGCTAGGCTGGTACCAAACTATCCCTCATGATGAAGATTTGAGTCAACAAGTCATCGAACTAGGCCCAAAAGCGACATTCGCAGAAGAAAGGGTTCGCCGTATTTGGCATCAGTGTCGGTTCCTGGAGCCACAGACTCAGGTGCGGGATTTGTCCAAAGGAGAATTAGAGCCTAGTTACACGGTTCGGTACAGTAAAAGGTTTCAAGTCCATCAGGAGCCTGAACGGCCTGCCAAGAGGCCCCATGTCCAGCAGTTCACTAATGGAGCGCAAGAACAATGGGATTGGTTGGCAAAAGAGGCAAGCTACAGGGCCAAGATAGGCAAATTGAAGGGACAACTCAGGGATCTCAAATTTGATAGTAGTGTACAGGCTACTGTCGATGAAGGGGAAAAGAAGAAGTTGGCCCAAAAAAACAGAGCCCTTCGAGCCCAGATCCAAAAAATGAAGATAGCTGCTGAGAATCAGGAAAGGAGCCGAACGGACGAAAGACTCATAAATGGCCTTAGAAGGAAAATATCCGAGTACGAGGATGATTTGGAAAAATCCAAGGGTAGTCTGGCAAGAGCCCAGACACAGTTGGCAAAAAACGCAGAGGGACGGGCAGAATTTGTCAGGCAATTGAAAAGAAAATAAGATGGAGAAGGCACAAACTTGAAAAAAAAAAGCTAACCACCCTCGAGAATGAGATAGCCAAAAAAACAAAGAGCTTTAAAGCAGAGAGGGAACATTGTTATGCTTTAATGTCACAGCTAGAGGAACATATGCAATAGCTACAAGGCCAAAGCCATCACGACACCCAAGTACTAGAAGCTAGGTCTCAATATGTTTGCTCCAAGAGAATGGTATCATCAGGGAAAGGGTTAGAGCAATTGCTGACTACATCGTCATGAAATGCCATGAATGTGAAGACATGACTAGAACCACCTTCTTCATCGTAGTGATGACTTTTGTTCGACAAATAATGAGTGACATAGATTGTCTCCAAGGAGATCTTGCACATAGGCCCGTGGCGAGACCGACAGATGTCCCACGGGCCCCTGGAGTAAAAGCACTTATGTATTCCTGATTTTCGTTTCGAGTCTGTATTTTAGTTTCCAGTTTTAGAGTCTATTTCGAGTCTGTTTTGTTTTCAATTCCTAGAAAAGTACAATGGAGTCATTTGTAATAGAAAAGATTAGGAGTTTTTATTTTTAATGAAATTTGAAGAAAACCCAAAATTATGTTTATTTATTTAATGCATTGATTCCTTGAACTACGTGATGATCTGATTCACGCGGCGTCATGATACTAGGCAAAGAAAAGCTCCTAATGGCGTATTTCGGAGAGAGTCTAGTTGGCATTGCATCTGAGTGGTACATGGATCAAGACATGTATCGCTGGCACATATGGGATGATCTGGCTCGAGATTTCATCAGACAATTCCAGTACAACATAGATATAGCTCCAGACAAAAATCCCCTGCCTAATCTCAAAAAGAAGTCTTTGGAAAGTTTCCAAGAATATGCTGTTAAGTGGCCGAACAAGC